TGAAAGTTGCAGGTCCTTCGGATAAGACTTTAAAAAAAAAAAGAAAACCGTGGCCCCGTGTCACGGTAGGCGTTGGCACGATAAAGAACCCTCACTGCTCAATGGCCCTGAGGCCGAGTAAAGGTCTAAATTTGAAGCCTTCACCGGTATATGGTGAAGTCTCTATACGAGTGAAAAATTCTCCAACAGGACGTGTAAACAACATACAATCAATCAATCAATAAAACCTTCCAAGAGCGATCCCAAAGAACCTTAGTCCAACCTTAGGGACTACACACCTCCTATGTACACTGAGTAATCCACTATTAAGATCACAAAGACTTACCTGTAACCAATGAGATCAGATACTAAATTCTTCATCAACTACCTATGTTATGCCGGTAGATAGCAACAAACTTTTATCAACTCTTAAGACATTGTTATCTTTTATTGAATTCTAAACCACTAAACAATCAATTTATCCCCTTAAAATTCTGGTTCCCTTCCCTCGAAATTTATGAGAGTATTTTTTTATTGAGAGACAAAATTATATTTAGAGATCACTCTGTATTTAAACATCCTTCTCGATGTAGGGAATAATCGCCGGCTTTTTAGTGAATTTTCCTGGCATAAAACTTTACCAATTTGATACATGTATATATTTAATATACTTTCAGTTTCAGTATTTTTTTTAAAGTTAAACTTAACTTAATAAAGTTTTCAATAGATTAATCTAATTAAATTAGCTGTCAATTTAACCTGCTGGTTATTACTTCATTATTTATAGAGAAATCTTTATTACCAGTTTTTCCGCGCTTAGCTTTCTTAAATTTTATGTCCCTATAGTAAGCATCGCTGGCTTTATGCACTTTTCGGCACCATCCATTCACATTTATTTTATGTACTTGAAGTGTAAGTGTACCCCATCTTGTTAGTACGTATATTCCACCCGAAAAAGCAATCCCGCAACATTATTACATATTATTTGCCGAAGCCTATATTTGAAAGCAGAAAAAAAGATTAAAATACAGCTTTACATCAAGAAGAATACAAAATTGAAAGTATTTAAAAAGACATTGAAATTTTCTAAAATTATTTTTATTTTAAAGATTAAAAAAACTCAAAAAGGCTCAATGGGAGAAAGAGCTACTAACTAAAATAAACCTCAAAAGTATTCAATACAAACACGTGTCATGTCATCATTACACAATGACATTGAATGAAATATGCAGATAATGAACAGCAAACAAGCTCAAAATTCCATTGAAACAATAGAAATCGGGAGCAGAGCAAATACGGACCTCTTCAAACATCAGAGGTGGGATAAGGAGCCATGGAAGCGTATACATCCCCTGTCGACCGGTCACACCCGCTTACTGCTCCTTGTCATGATCGGGAAAATGGAAAAATCCGTAGACAATTCAGTGTTAAAATAATGGCTTAAAAATTAGTATGAAAAACGACAATCAGCATTCGATTTAATGATAGATTGTATTTGCCGAAAAAGGTCATTGTATCGACCATAGAACTTGCGAAATGTTGACTTCAAACGAGACTGCTAATATCCTTGTTTCATCAACTTGTTTGTCAATGGCTTGTCTTGTTTTAGGAATTCGTACGTAGAGCATGTTCTTGCATATCGAATCAATTGGGAGACATAAACTCCATATGCAGATGATAAGGGTAATTATATTGCTACGTAAATGAGGGAAGTTGACGATAGAAAAGTTGAAGACATGACGTTCATCATAAAGTTTTGTTGTTAAATTCAACTATGAACTGAGAAACATAATTATTAATTGTAAACTGTTCGTTTTTTTGCACACCACTGAGTCTTTGAATTGTTCAAACACATAGATGGTCAATAACTTTAATGTGTAAACTGAATTGAAGCTGTACTTTACCAGGTTGTTAGAGAAAAAAAAAAGCTCTATTGGTTATTAAACACAGGAAAATATTCATTTATCACTGTACTTTATATCAATGAACTTTGGGTGTGCCAAAGTATATATCTTTTAGTCACATAATTATAACTTGTTTTAAGATGCATACTGTATTGTGTTGGAAATGTCCACTTAATATTGCTCACCCTGCTGTCCAAGTACAGAAAGCAGACTTGACTTCCCCAGAGTCTTTGACACAGCAAAGCCACATTGTGTAAGGCTAGGAACGCAGGCTCTGTGAGGAGAACATGCAGCACGCAGGAAGCAATATGGTATGGTCCTGTCAACAGGGTAGTAAAATTTTTCTATTAACCATTCACTCTAAAAGTACTAGTTGGCCTTTCTAACTTTGTACTGGTTTAGGTGTTTCTTTGCTCTTTCTTCTGTTCCATACGTTTCCAAAGAAAAATGAATTAATCATATAACATTATGTGCATAAGAAGTGATGAAAAAGTAAGCAAATGGAAGCAGCAGACATGAAACTTATTGATCATACTGTTATATATTGTACATTTATTTGCTGCCAGATCATCCTTGATAGGCGAATACAGATGAAATACCGGTACATGCAGTACATAACATCAATATCGACAATGAAGTTGAATCAACACATCATGCAATTTATAGTAGTATTTTCTCTCGAAATACAAAAATTCTATTATAACAGTTCATGTATATACTGAATTAAATACATAAACATTATACTGATTTCATTCACTTCAAACTTTTACTGATTTTATATACAAGTAGACTGCATGTACTATAATTTTGAATTTTCATTATACTTTTGTATAATTTTTTTTAGAATAATATGACAAATAAACCTGCTATTGTTTCTAAAAAGTCTACCATGAAATATAGTTTTTGTGCTATATGCCCATGGTGATATAGCCGTCGAATATTCACTGGCAGCATTTGATTTCCCTCGCTTTTTATCTCGGAACTTTTCTAATTTTCTCTGCATTGAAACGTGCCACAAGTAATATTTACTTCTGTATAAAACACCTATTTATTGACTAATAGTATTCGGACAATAGAAAGTTTATTGTCTCCCAAGACAAAAACTATTTCCCTCAACTGCGACTTGAGAAATAGTTGTCTTGGGAGACAATAATCTTCCTGTTGTCCTCATAGCCAGTAAATACTTGTAGGTGTATAATATTGTCTTTCTGACATATTTTCTAATTATCAATTAAAATCTGCGTTATTAATGCAGATTCTTAGTGATAAATAGGAAATATAGGAAGACAATATGTACTGTTACATGTACATGTATTTAAATTTTGCAATAGTTATTTTTGCAATTTTGTCTAGCTTTTCAGTTCTTATTTCGTTATTTGCTGAAAACATACCTAATTAAAAAAAGTAGTTAAGTCGGTAATAAGAAGTGTCGGCCAATTCTTCATCCCATGCCTTTCATCTTGCCAATTTTTATACAATTGAAATGGAAGATTGATATCGGGGAACTTTAACATATCCATATACGATTTTGTGTTTAAAATGTGATTTTCAATTGCTGTTCAGAGAACGCATGCAAGTGCAACCATCCTTTGTTTATTACCGCCAGACGACACTCAACGACATTACTAATAATTTCTCAAAGCAGGAATTTAAACAGAAGTTCAACTTACATGTAATAATTACTTGGCCAAAATATCCTAAAATTGACAAATAATATTCATGCCACCCGAAATCAAAGATCTGAGGGCGTACTTTTTGGTCTGCTTGACTTTTAATCTGTTTGTTCACAAAACCTTTAATATTGCCTGTAACTTTTGAGCGGTTGGTGCCAGTGCTTTCATATTTCAAGGCTGATTTTAAGACCTTTCTTTAACATTTTGACCTCATAACATAACCTACTTTTGAAAAAAATAAGCCTTTGCCATAAATTCTAATGATTGGTGCTAGGGTTTTTACAAAATTTCGCATCCTTGTGACAATACCTTTCTTTGGGTACATTTTTATGCCCCCGTAATCGAAGATTAGGGGGTCATATAGTTTTTGCTCTGTCTGTCCGTATGTCTCTTTGTCTGTTAATCTGTTAGTCTGCTTGTACGCAAAAAAAAAACTTTAACCTTGCCCATAATTTTTAAATGGTTGGAGCTATGCCTTTCACTATTCACATGTATATTCCTTGTGACAAGACTTTTCTTTGGGTACCAACATATTTGACCTCTTGACCTTGGGAGTTTGACCCACTTTTGAAAAAAATTACCAAACTTTAACCCTGGCTATAACTTATGAACAGTTGGTGCTACGGCTTTCCTACTTCACTTGTGTATTTCCTTGGTGACAAATATTTTTGACCTTGGAGCTTGACCTACTTTTGAAAAATCTTAACCTTTGCCATAACTTTAAATGGTTGAGCTAGGGCTTTCATATTATACCTGTGTATTTCTTGTGTCAAAGTCTCTTAACCTTGCCCTTGGAGTTTGACCTACTTTGAAAACTTTAATCTTGGCCATAACTTTTGAATGTTAGGTGCTAGGGCTTTCATGCTTCTCATGTGTATTCCTTGTGATAAGATCTTTCCTTGGGTACAAATATTTTTTACCTTGAAGTTTGAACAACTTTTGAAAAACTTAAACCTTGGCAATAATTTTGAATGGTTGGTGCTACGGCTTTTATACTTCACAGGTGTATTCCTTGTTACAAAACCTTTCTTTGCGTACCAATATTTCGATCTCTTGTCCTTCACCTTGGAGTTTGTCTTGCATTTGAGAAATAACCTTCGCCATCAGCATACGGGGCCATCAGTGTTTCACAAACATATCTTGTTTCCTCATGCCCTCGACCTTGGAGTTTAACCAACTTTTGAAAAACTTTCACCTTGCCCATGTGCTGTATTACGGGGGCATTATTGTTCCACAAACACATCTTGTTTTTACTGATATACTTCAATCTAATGTGAAGGGTAAAATACCTAATGTACTGAATAGAGGAGATGTCTTCAATCGATATTGTGATATCCATCTCAAACAATATACATCAATATCGTTACAGTATATTATTTTCCTCTTTCATCCCTGGCTCTCTGATTAGCTCAATCGAGATCACATGTTCAAATATAAAACAACGTACCGACTGGCTGTCTTTATTTTAAGATTCTTATAAAATACATGTATATCGAATAGATATCCATTTGAAAAATGGAAACAAAACATTTAATTGTGGTGTCATTTGGGTATGATATACCGGTAACAATATTAATTTATGATCGAGTTTTACATTCTGCTTTTTGGTGCTAAATTCATTAGGACGTCATAAAATTAATGCAACTTACTTTTAAGGAGGGATTCTTCTCTGGTTTCTGACTAAATGAAATATTCAGATATATTTGCTTATATGTCTTATATATAAAGATGGAAAGGGTTTATAAGACAACATTTTTCTCTCCTCTTCATATTTTTTTTAACAACTTTGTATAGAAATTATAAACTGAAATCTAGCAGGAACAACATTTTTGGCGGAACGGCCGCGTAAGTGAGAAAATATCTCCATTTCTGCTTCTAAACATTACTACAGAACAAAGAATGAAGTCAATTTTTTAAACAATCAATTACTTAAAGAAATATATAATATATATATAATAATAACTAAGATTTCCAAAAATTTATGAAAAATAGTGGAAATTCGGATTAGCCAATAGTTTTACAGGTAGTTGAAAAATTGTGATCCTACTAGTATTTTAACAAGATACGTATATGTACGGATGCGTATATAATCAAATAAAGAAGTTGCTTTAAATTACGTTTAAAAACCTAAATCCAAAACAAAATATGTGTTTAAAAAAAAAAAAAGTTTGCCTATTCCATTTTGCCAATACTCGATTCTACAGATACATAGACCAAAGCAAAGATATTCTATACCCAGAACAGAAAACTGGTATTTGTAAGCAAGTAGCAAATAAAGAAATTCATTAACTCTTTGTGAACTCTGAATACAATTAATATTTCATCTTACATTTGTATTTTTTTTTTCAAACTATTTCCAATTTAGCTTGTTAATGTTTTTGTTTTCACCTTGGTATCATGATATCACCTCTCTTCTTTTACCTGCTATTTAACCTCAAAGGAAGCATTGATGTATACTATTATTTGTTCCAATTACTAAGTTACGATAAGAAATAAAGAGGACACTATTTTTGCTGGAAGTTGACAAATAAGGTTGACTTGTCACCAAGAAATAAAAATCAGTTCATTACTTTACTGTACATTGTATATCTGAACTATCTAAAAACGCGTGAAAAGAAGGAACATGTACATATGAACATGCATTGATTCTGAAATGAATATTTACAAGAAAATAATAAAAATTATCAAAAACATCAGTGTATGCAATTATTTTCTAAAACGAAACAAAGTTTATTATCCTAAAATATTTCACACACTGTCCCTTGCTACAACGGCATAAATCTGGACGCTTCCCGAAGAGTAGAGGCCGCTGACTCGATTGTATAGAGAATAACGGTAAAATGTTTCTTCACTATTTCCCATCTCCTTTGTTCATCTGGACTTCCCTCTATCTCAAACATTCCGTCCGCCAGTCCTGGAAAACTGCTACCAGCGTACGTATTGACACTGCTCTCCGCAAACAGAACATGTCTGAATAAATTGGTAAAGAAAACATTTGATGTGCAAAGTTGTGCCTTTTTTTTAATTTGAGAATAAGAATGATATAGTTCCATTTAGACTATTGACTAAAACGTGTGAATACCTGGCCAATGGGCGCCCTGGAAGACCTTGAGGGTCTATGAATGCCCTCTCTAACTGTAGCAGCTGATCGTTTATTTTTCGAATAGCGAATGGGCTGTAAAAATTTAGATATAATTAGGTATATGAAACTGATATGATTTTGGTAAATTTAAAAAAAAAATGCAAGATATAAATACATTTCTGAATCTTAAGATGCAAACTGACATGCAGACTTACTCTTTCTTGTTCACGGAATCTACAGATTTCTGAAAACCTGTTGTCTCAGATGTGAATAAACGTGAAGTGTTATATAGCAATTCTAGATAAAGAGAAAAAAACCCATCAGAGAGGTCTTTTTTCCAATTAATAGTGAAATAAAGTAAAAGATAAAAAAAAATCTCCATCTTGCCTAATTGAATCCCGTTTTTCCTCATCAAGGCTCCAAAATCAGAATCAAGTTGTTTAACAAGACTTTGCAGTTTAAGTGAATAGTCCTCAACTTTGAAAGGAATAATCAGGGAGTCGGCAAGGTTCCGTGCTAACTCCGCCCACGTTTGTCCTACTGCCCGATGACGCTATATGCGAAAGTAATCTGTCATTATTTCATATCAGATAACATAAAAATATTTAACCAAAAATTGATTTATTAATTTTTATTTTTCTAAAACATATTCCTGCATATCCAAATTTGATAAAACAAATTCAAATTACGACACTTTGTTTCTACACGAAAAGTAATAATGACCGAAAATCTAATAAACCGGGATTATTACATTTTGCGTTAAATAAATACATGCGTCAAAATCAACGCAGAATGTAATAACGCAAAATGTAATAAGAAACTTTAGGAATATTACATTTTACGTTATCACGTTTTGCGTTGATGTCAACACAAAATCTAACAAGCATTCTGAGAATATTGCATAGTTCCCTACCGGCAAGTTTAATCTGGTTCCGTTTAAAAATTGAAAATGCCATAATTCCGTCAAAAATCAATGAAGCGAAACAAAATGCAACTTGATCTATAACTCATCATGGTAAAGTCACATACCAAAACTCAGCTCAATATCTGCAAGCGTTTAGAAAAAAAATTGCGGAAAACCCTGAAAAATTGAAAAGGTCGTAATTCCGTCAAAATCATTGAAGCGGAACGAAATGCAAACTTGATCTGTGAGTCATCAAAATACTCTCACATACCGAAAATCAGCTCAATATCTGCAAGCGTTTAGAAAAAAAGTGCGGAAAACCAAGTGGAACAGACTGACAGACAGACAGAGGGACAGACAGACGTACGGACAGACTCAGAGGAATCCTATAGTCCCCTCCGGTTTCACCTGTAGGGGACTAATAACGCAGATTTTAATAAGATATTTTTTGGATTATTATTTTTTAGTTATTATATTTTGCGTCGATATTAAGCAAAACGCAACGATGCAAAATGTAAAAAACACACTTATTATCAGTAAGGTTGAGAAATTCACACCAATGATTATATATTGCTTTATTAAATATTATACATTTATTGCATGATCGTGAGGGAAATATGAAGATTTATTCAGCCAAGAAAAATCCTATTCCCCGAGGGCTTCGCCCGAGGGGAATATGATATTTCTTGGCTGAACAAATCTTCATGTTTCCCGAAGATTTATGCAATAAATTGTTTATTATACCGAAACAAGTAAAAACTTTGGAAAAACCCATAAACTTTCAAATTCGGCACCGCTCTTCAGTTTTTAACGTAGTGTTACTGAAACAATTTACAGAAGTCCATCAGCAATTTTGTAACGTGAACCAGGCTATTGACGTCTACTACTCTCGAAAGTTTTCGTTCAACGAACGATAACTATTGCGGGAAAATACACTAGATCTCCGAAGAGGTTGGATATGATGAAAAGCATGACGATGACAGGGAAATATGAAGTTTTATGGCCCTGTCACGTGATAATCTTAAACCAATCAGATAACGCGTTGTATAGAATAATTATAATGAGGTATAATAATATTAAGTATTAGCCGTTTCCTGTCGTCTACGAAATACAATGTACATGTAATGCAAGTTCCATTTCAAGGGATCAAATTATTTCCTGGCTTTCAGACATGACAATTTTAATTAATTTTTATTTAATGCAAAAGGGCATGCCCGTCTTGTGTTCACGTATATCTGAGTAACTAGTATTTGATTCACCAATTATATCATTAAATTCCATCAATTTTAAAACATATTTTTTATTCAGTGCCACAAGTTATTCAGTGGATACTTAGTGTACAATTTTTATGATAGAAGCGTGCAATGCAAAAAATTACTCAAATTCTTTTAGACAAAGAGCAAGAGCCACTTAAAGCCGTTTATGGCCCTGAGAATTTCTGAAAAATTGGAACTGCTCAGTTTTGGTTGAGAATGCAGTATTTATAACTTGAACACTTGTTGACTGTGTATCCATTGAACATGACGTAATTTTCTCTCTGGTCAATGCATTATGACGTCATAAAATGCGTCATTTTTCCCATATCCTGTAAATTCTCTTAAAAATGGCCAAAAGTTGAGGTATTTTTTCAATATTTCATATAGAGCACAACCCCTGATCCAAAATATGCAATTACATAATGAAAGATCGGTTTCTGAAGATCACAAAACATGTTTTAATTTTTGGATCGTGGGCTGTGCTCAGATTTTAATTCTTTGATGAAGGTAGTCAAATACGCATGTTTTCTGCAAAATTCAAGAACATTACATTTTCACAAAGCCTGTTTTTCAATACCTGGATTCTCAAAAAGAAATTTTGTTATAGGAAATGAAAGCACTAAGTCTCTACTTTATGTTGATATATAAAATGGGACAGGGGGTGATAGTCAATTAATTGATATAAGGACAGGGCCATTTTATGCATAAAGTGAACCTAGCTCTTTATGCATTAACAAAGGAAATTTATATTTAAAGTACCTTAAAAGCATTTCATATTCCTAACCCGACTCATCCACTGCGGCACAATACCTTTTCATTTTTATTTATATTAAAGATATGTTTAAATCAATTTTATGATGTTTTGCGTTGAACACAACACAGGAAAATGTTTTGTTTATTACATGTTCATTTTATTACATTTTGCGTTGCTCTCAACGCAAAAATTAAATAACGCAAAAAGTAATCATCAAAAAGTACATTATTACATTCTGTGTTAATCTCGACGCAAAATGCAACAATCCTAAAAAGTCTGTTATTACATTTTGTGTTATTACATTCTGCGTTGATTTCAACGCAAAAGGTAATAACGAAAATGTAATAATTCCAGTTTATTACATTCTGCGTTGTTATTACATTTCACGTTGTAACAACGCTTATATATACTAAATTTCTTGTAATTTCTTTCACTTTAATTCAAAAATGAGCTGTAGGAAATAGATTTTACCTTGAAACCGCGGTCCATAATCTCATCCACCACCTTAAAAGTCTCGTACTTCGAATGGTAAAGTGGGTAGGAAGAAATTTTGTATTTATTCTGTAAAATTAGTTTACAGGTACTTTAGTCATACAATCAGGAAAGACAAGGTCAAAATAACTAATCCGTACTTTCTTCTTGTTCCACTAACACATGGCGATTGTGATTAGATATATAAAAAACCCAGAAGTCTCTGACGAGACTATAGCTCTACTGGTCGTACTTATAAAGGAAGATAAAATAGCACTCGGACTTGAAACTTTGAAACAGCAATAAACAGAATAATGATCCTTGGTTTAGTCTCTTTTTGTGGCAAGATTTATTGCAATCAGACTAAAACTGTAGAAGGAGTAGCCTTTTAAAACAATTTTACAGAAATTTCGATTTAAGTTACCATGGCAACATCATTCAACAAAATCAAAAAAAAAAAGATACGACAATTATGTATCTCAGTGAAGTCTACTACAAAATCAAAATCAAAAACAGATAGACATATATTATGTATCTTAGTGTAGTCTTCTTGTGTGCCAAGTTATATTGAAATCAGATCAAAACTGTAGGAGGGGTAGCGATTTGAAAAATTGTTTACAGACGGTCTGACAGACAGACGAATTGACGACGGACACCTTACTATCGCATAAGCTCTTCTGGTCTCTGACCAGTAGAGCTAAAAGACAGACGGATTGACGACGGACACCTTACTATCGCGTAAGCTCTTCTGGTCTCTGACCAGTAGAGCTAAAAGCTGAATTATTTTGAATTTCTCACTGAATTGTATGTATATCGAATATCCAGACAAGGTAAGCCAACACGTTTGATAAAAGGGGCATAATCGCTACCAGAGCCCATGTCAGAAATTCTGAAATCGGAAAAAAAATCAGTGAATTTTACTATAGTATACGCTGTATCAGGCATTTCTAAATAAACCTTTAGTGTAATTTTCGTGAATAAAAATATTTTTGACAACGTTAGACTGGCAAGAAAAATACCTTGGAAGTTTATTGTCTGTATCAGGAAAACTAGACAGCCATTTATCATAGACGGTTTTCATTGTGAATTCCTGCTCGTCCGGGTTTGGAACCTTTTTTGTAGCATCATAAATAACAGAGTTTAACAGAGGTGTACCAAGCGACCGAAGAGAGTAATTACCTAATTAATATAAAAAAATAACCAATTTCAATCAGCATCTACATGTATTAATGAGCCTAAGAAAATAATGGAAGGGAAGAATTCATTAAATGTACCTTGCACTGCAATATCCACATTCAAATAGGCAACTGCTCGAGATCCAAGATTTTTCACATATTGCTGATTTAGTAGAGATAGAATAAATTTCATTTTCAATGGAACTGTGTTTTTTTTTTTAGCAAAAGCTATGATTTTCATATTAAAAAATGTAGGTATTTCACCTCTATCCATTCTGTAGATCCAATAAGTCCATATTCTTCCGCACCCCAGCTACAGAAAACAATCGTTCTCCGCGGGCGCCACCTGTCTGCAAGGACATGATTTGAAAAAAAACCCAATTCAAGATTCCCCAAAGTAGTAGACTAGTATATATAGGCCTATATATCTATACATAAAATGCCCCTTGCCTTGGTACAAATTTCGAAAGATTTAGCAAAAATATATTTTGCCATAAAATGGTAATTCTAAATTGCACGTATAATTTCCAGCTAAATTATCAGTAGAACGTTTAAGGAAAACTGTTCCTTTTAAACTTACTTGTTCGAACAAGGTTTCCCATTACTCGGGACACCTCTTTCATTACAGCAGTTCCACTGGATGGATCGATTGCTCCAAAGACCCACGCGTCACGATGGTTGCCTAGCAACACATACCTATCTGAGAAATCGAAATTTTGCAAATTGCTATTGGACATAGTGCTTAAATTTTCTAAAGTATAAATAATCTTTGTAATAGATTTTCTTTTACATGCGTTTCCAATTTCTAATAGGTTCTTATTCGCTGACCAGGCTCAATTCTTCCCCGGATGATCCCAAAAACATTGTAGGTTCTTCTTTTACTATTCTTCGTAGAAATTCTTATTCTTATCCGCCTAAAGAGGGAAAAACCGATGACGTAATTGATATTACAATAGATACAGCATTATAATTCTTAAAACAATTTAATTTTTTCATACCATCCAGAGTTGCCTAATTGTCCGCCATATTTGTAAGTTATATTGAGTGCTCCTTTCCAGCTTTGTGGGACCTCAGCTCCATTCATATATCTGACATCAATATCATAAACATGAGGTCATTTCTTTACAAGATATTAATTCATAGATACATGCATGGTATTACAGATATCAGATATCAGAAGTGTTTGAAAAGATATAAAATGTTCCTATAAGTTACCCAATAAGTGTTTTGGCAACACCATATCCAATCGGATGAGAAGGAATCTTTGGAAGCTCCGCCTCTGAATCGCTTTCATTCAATCTGTATGCATTCTCTGTTAAGTAAAATCAGCACGAGACCTGTAATTTAAAATCGATATAGACAATGCTATCCGTGTTTAATGGTAGTAAAATACCTGTAGCCGGGTAACCCGGAGTAAGAGGATCTCCTCCAATAAATATTGCCCCCCGCTGTGTGCCCGTGTCTGGAAGCCACCAGTCGTGGGGGTAAATCTGTGAATCCTCACCGTCAACAGCGTAATCCGCTGGATCTGAGTAGATTATTATTGCTATAGCTCCATGAAGGTAGGCTTGATTGACCTTAAATCAAGAAATATATTTTTTTGAATGTTTATTACTTAGTGTAAAAATAAATTTTCACAGATTTGACATGACCCCCCCCCCCCACCCCCCACCCCTTCACCCGATCATATTCACGAGGACGGTCTTTAAAATAAATAATTTATTGTTCTAACACATATTTAAAAAGCCTGATAACTAAATCGTTTTATTGAACATAACGAATATCAAAGAAATTTTATAATACTGTTAAACCTACATGTATTAATGCATACTAGTATTAGACCCATGTGCAAGAAAAAAATTGTGGAAAAGAAGAAAAAATGGCGAAGACGTAAAATCCCTAAAATGTATAATGATTATACATGTATATGAAGGGGGTTTTCCTGTGCATAACCACCTGTGTTACAGACCTTGTCGCCTCTGAAGATTTTGCCGTATCGAGCCAGTACGATTTTCCCTGTAACGTTGATGTTCGTATTGTTTGCCAACCATCTATAATCCTCCACCCGTCCATAGTTTACGTACACAAGGTCCATCTACAGAAAAAAGACAAATTTCTGATTTTTAAGCTTTCCTCAACTAAACGTAAAAGAATAGAATACTAAGTTTATATTTTATGGTTCTTGGTTGATGGATTTACTAATAAGCAGTTACACATTCACATTTGAAATCTTCATCGTCCACCCAAAGAACAAAACAGAACATAACTCTATCTTTTTTTTTAATCTCTGAAATGAGTGTTTAAAGTGACTGTTTTTTCTCTGGTGTAACATCACAATATAAACAAGAAAAGTGTATTTTTGGCTTACTGAACTTATATCGCCAGGTGCAGAGTAGGCATTGAATGGGGGTACAACATTTGACTTGTTTTCGCTGGGATCCAGAATTGGTTCGTACAGAGCGGACTCCCAAACTATCTGATTCGTAGAATTGTAGACAAATATCCGATTCATCTTGCTTTCGTCCTCTGTTTCAGGATAGGAAAGCAGTACATCATATGGTGTGATGAAAGCTTCATCAAGACCCACCGATTTCCAGAAGTCATGAAGCTCCTTAGCCTGTTTATAATCTGCATCTGTTCCAGCGAGATGAGGGTATTCAGAGAGTTCTCTATTTAAAAAAGTGCACAATATTTGACAACTATTAGAAATTCGTCAATTTTGTCCACGTTTCCACATCGTCAAAGTTTCAACTTTTACAGTATCATAAAGGTCTATGTTATCTTTGTCTGATCTCTGAAATATATCTATAAATGACATTTTGTGTTTTATCATTGGTATTGCTAAATGGTATCAAATTTATCTATTTTAAAGCTTGATATTTTCCGTGCCTTTAAAACTACACCGATTTATTTCAATTTGACATCATATAAAAAGGAAAGGGTATGCTTAAGTCATAAGTCCGTATATAGCCTATAGAGGATCGTACATTTTGACCGTTGTTTGTGACAAATGTAAACCTCAGTTTTAGTACTTTTAGTACTGTGATTAAATCCGTTAGCGCTGTTGGCACCCCTATGTGTTACCCATGTTGTTATTCAGCTACATGTACAAAGGTACCATGCAATGTGGAACAAATTTATACGGTCATCTACCTGTAGTTCTGTATGTCAGACAGGGAGTTCATGGCTCATTCCCAAAAACCTATCATCTGTTGCATAATTACAGTGAATTAGTAACAGGAGAAATGTACTGAGGTAATTCGTGATTCTGCATTGATAAGATAGAGTTCAAGAGAGAGAGAGAACTAACCTTAAATTCTGGAACTCATGCAGTAAATCACAAAACCGGAAATTTTGAAATGGGGGTGGGGGTCAGCCGAAAAAAAAAGCAATATTCGAAGTCTAAATACTATTTAAGGGATAAGGGCTGACTCTCATTCGTTGACGGCAAAATTTTTACAATAAATATTTCGAGAAAATATTCTTTGTAGGGCAGATAAAAAATAAACTTATGGGTAATTTTGTACTTCATATAATCTGGTAATGTTTCTTCTCTTGCGGTGCTGTCTAATTTTTAGACATAATTAGTAATTAACAAAGTACGTACAATTTATTTTTGGACACAATTTAAGACATATTCAGTGTACATATCCTTGTCATAAAACTTAATAGGTATATGACGAGTAAAAGCACAAATTATATAATTATTACGTGTAATCATACATGTGCGAGTCAACAGCATTTATATTTATGGTCTACCATAAAAAATCACGTCTTTAAATACTGTGCCGAGCTTAAATAGACCGAAATGAAGGAGTGTTATCCCTACCACTTTGCAAGAAAACGCTGCGTATGAAATTTATAATAAAACGTCCAAAACACCACCGTTTTTCATGATTTGCGGTACTTAAGAATGCGTTTTAAATTTTGTTTGAAACTGTCAACATTTACAAATAGGACGAATTCTATGTATTTTTTTTTTTAGCCAACCAGTTAAAAAGAAAGAAAATGACAATATTTTACCGCAAATATTGCCGAATATTTTCACTCCTAATCTGACTGATGATCTCGGGAGAGATGGTTGGGTCTCCATCTTGAACAAGGCTTTCTGGTATTCCGGAAACATTTTGATCACCGTCCTCCATACAGAATCCGAATCTCCCAATTATCATACCAATTCCTAAACCCACGGCAGCCGCTATTAGCGTCCATAGCAAGAGATTCTTTTTGGCTTGTTGGTGCACAGAATTCATTGTTCACTTATCTTTAACCGAATAAACTTCGTAGACACCTAAAAATTCTCCTTGTAGTAAATTCAGCAGACAATGGATATCGTAAATTGTTAAGCGTTGTGTTTGATCATTTTTTGGCAAATAAAGGGTAAAAATCCCAGGAATTGTTGTTGCGCTCAGTAAATATAGTCCTTGGACGCTCTAGATCTGAGGCAGTTTTAGTGATAAGTAACTTCAGTGCTGGCTAGATAATCCCGCAAAGCAGCTTTGCGCAGACGTTATCTTTTCATCATTTAATGAAGTCGCCTTTTTTCTATCCATTTTTTTTTCAAAGGGGGGGGGGCATTTCTTGCAAGAAAATTGTTTGGAAAAAGAGTTTTTTTTTCTTAATAAATTGTTTACATATTCATAAAGTAAGATTGTATTAGAAAGAGAAAAAAGACATATATGATGTATGCTAAAAAGTATTATTAAAATAGCTGCGTCCACCTTTCACTCATCATTATAAACGTAACGATCAGAGAAGTATGTTTGCGTATTTTATGGCACTCTCCTATCAGAAAGCAGCTTTTTATTGCTAAATTTTATGCATTTCTACATATACAAGGACATATCCAAACATTTGTGGGGAGGGGGTCAAATCTAGTCAAAATATTCTACAAATATATATTAAAGACACTTAAAATGGAGCTATTTTGTAATGTTTAATGGACTTTTGAGCTTGAATAATAGTACTGTTCGTTATCTCCTTATATTTCATTCATTACAATTATTTGTAGTGAATTTTTATTAATAATGAAAATGATATACATATATTGTTAAAGATTATTAAAAGAGAAAAATGTTTATAGATATATTATAACAAATTTGAGAGTTATAAAAATATTTTTGTGAATACAAAATAAATTTAATTTTGAAGAATACATTTTTAATAATTATCATAGTCTCTTTTTTATAAATAAATTTTGCATTGGTCTTTAATAGCATGTTTGGGGGGGAAACATCTTGCAATACAATTCAACACTGTGTCGTGTAATTATAGGAAAGACAATAAATTATTTAAAGAAAATACATCAAAATTAAGTCCAAAAATGTCCATTTCGCTAACATGTCTTGTGTCCTGCGATGAAGAGAGAAGGCGTACTTGTTTCAGACATCCAGGCGGCAACCTGTTCACTTTTATCACATGTCATATTGACCCGATTAGTGTCGCTGAAACGAGTGAAAATTTAACCGGAAAATGGCTGCTACTGTTCAAAGTGCTGTTGCTGCAATAAATAATTTTCTTTCAAGTGACGAGGACAACAATTTAGAGGATATTTTTGCATTTTAACATTTACTAGATCGATGCAGTGCACAATCTTTTAATTTACAGCACATGGCTTCGTTACGATGAAAAGTGAAATGTAACTTCAAAATTAAATGAAAAAACAGTTGGTAGTGCAAATATAAACAAACATGTTGTAAAATTACTTTTTACCTCAGTACTGTATGTTAATTGAAAATAAACAATTGCAAATGATAAAAAATGGATATTTCATCGGCAAGAAATCTTTTACCTCCGTTTTCCGCCATATTGCTTTACATTTGCCAGCTCGAAATTTTCCGAACGAACCGCAAACCGAGCTACTTTCTGACCACCCGGCGGCTTAAAAATATTTGAAACAATATACGTGCCCACTTCCAGAAGTATCAACCGGTTTGACTCTGGTTATGAAACAAGTGCTCCCAAAGTCAACAAACATTCTATAGCATGAGCAATTCTAGTCCTTACCAGCAAACTTAAGTGCGTTCCCTTAGAAATTAAAAAGCTCGCAATTTCGTCAAAAACTCATCAAAGCGGAACAAAATGCAAACTTTCTCTTGAAATTCATCAAGGTTAGACTCGGTCGAGAGGGGACGCTTACTCCTCCTAGGCACCTGATCTCACATCTGGGATTTCCTGGGACCTGTGTTTTATGCAGAATTGTATTGTGAGATCGATCACTGTTCCTTATTCTCATCTTTTTTATTTCCATAATTTTTTTTCTTAAAATTATTTTTAAAAAAAATTAATAAAAACTTTCTTAGTCAAAAAAGTATCTTGTGATGCATTAATTGCTGTGTTCTTTAGTAGGAGTTTAAGTTAGTGATTGAATTCCATAAAGAAAACACGTCTTTTGCATAGTATGCTCACAAGAGACAACATTTGCTACCAAACACTCTACACCTCTACACAGTATGGTATTTTGAGACACAATGAAATGTCTAGCAAACTTCGATACATGAAAATCCAACTTGCAGAATATCAATAGCACGGAGCTCATTTTACGTGACAAGGCTAGCAAAATGTTGAATCGTCATTATTGTCAGTATCGCTATTTAGGAAGTCAGAGAAACTGTCTTATCTGGCATTGCTTCCTAATGTAATTGTTGATTTAGAATTTGGTCGAACTCTGGTGTAAGTTTTTCGAACTAATTTTTTTTAATCGGATCTGTGAACATAAAGATCCCTTTTGCAAGAAATCATAACATATATTAAAAATGTAAATTTAATTGAGCATTTTGATATGCAAAGTTACATTTTTATAAAATTTATTATAAAAATTTGAATGCTGGATTTCATACAAATGAATATTGATAACATACGTATAGAAACACATTAAAAAAAATAAAACAAAATAAAAACAAATAAAAGCAAAGAATTTCAAGTAAGCATAATTACGATCATGATAACAGAAAATATATTAGTTAATGGTAATGTGTATTTAATCAGTATGGCACTTTTCTCCCTCTTTTCATAGATTATGGTTCATAGCATCTTCCTCCTTTGTCTTTGTTGTGCTTAAGACTTCCAATTAATCTCTTATGGTGTCTTGTTCCATTGAATGAAAGAAATCGAAGATTGATAATGAGTGACAGTTTATAAAGATATATACCTTGGTATATTCTTCTTTTATAACAGTTTAATTACCTTCTAGTTCGAGTAAAAATCTTGCCAATCTCAATACCGTTGGACATTCCTCTGTAAAAACAAGATGACACAAAATGTGTAACTATACATATGCCCAAAAAAACTTTACTAAAAGTATTCAATTTCTATATTGGGTAGCATGAAGTCATTAAAGCATTAAAGTTATATGCTGTTTGACACTGTCATAGCTCGTAATAATAATATTTTCTTCGTTGACTGTCATGATTTTTTTTTTTTTACAAATTTCTTCGAATGTGAGTATTTCAATGGTAGAAGAATGTACCACACACCCTCAAAGTCACCTCTCTCTTTCTCTCTCTCTCTCTCTCTCTCTCTCTCTCTCTCCAGACTAGATATTTTCATAAAAACTAATTTTTGTGTAGATTCCTATTCAAAATCACGAAGATAGACAAGGTAGGAAACGGATACGGAGGTCTAACTTTCATGCCAGTAAAATTTTTACTCACCGCCATGACGTGCTCGATACTCAGACAACGCCCACATTCTCTCCCTCTCTGTGTGACGTTCTATAATGGATCGCACTCTGTGTCCTACGTCATCCCAACCTAAAACATAGGAAAAAAGATGTGTCTGATTTTTTCACGCAAGTAAGATTTTTTAAGTGGAAAGGTATTCAGATCCATCAGGAACATGAGGAAATAAACTCAAAAACACGAGAGATAGGGGGCGATACATTACATATACAAGTACATGTTATCTTATAGAAGATAAATATATTCCCATGGATTTTGCAATCTCTAATTCAGATCATGCGTAGTATCGCTAGCGCTTTTCTGATATACTGTATAGATTACCAAATTTTCGTGATATAATATTTTTTCGAGACTGTTTTTTGCGACATTTTATAAGCCATATATATATATATATATATATATATATATATATATATATATATATATATATATATATATATATTATATATATATATATATATATATATATATATATATATATATATATATATATATATATATATATATATATATATATATATTTACGAATTTCGGTTATTGTTCTATACAATCTTTAGTACTATAAATATACGCGAAAATTAAATTAACGCGATTGGACAGTCGGTCTCGCGTAATTACGCCAAAAAAGTTCTCGCGAATAAAAATTGATTTGTATTACACGTACTTGTAAATGTTACTTAAATATGTTTGTTACCTAGCATCTCTTCGTGAACATTTCTAAAAGTTCTTGTACTCTCAAGTCTCATATCTCTATCCAATCCAGCATCTGCAAAAAACGTACAGCCATACAGTATACACGATTAGTTTTCTTTTCTTACAGATTGTACTGAAAGTTTTGGGGAACATTAAGATATCAACATTCACCGACGTCTATCTAACTGCAGCTTCTGATACATGTATGTTTTAAAATTACGTGGGGCATTTGAAATAACGGTTACTTACAAGAATTACAAGTGTTCTTGACCCTGTGTCATTAATCATGACCTTTGACCAATTTTTTAAAATTGCTTGAAAGAGGACGACATACAAGTAGACATGTCTCTCTTTCATGGGAAAGACTTGCACAAATTTTCATTGAACCAGTGATCTTGACCCTGATTTCTGATGCATTTTTTAGAAGTGGGTGTTCAGTGTAATTACTATATTTGTAGAGCAAAGATAAGACTTTGTAAGAGTCCAATTGAGTTTGAGAGGATGGACTGTTCTGTGTTTTGTCAGGAGATTGTATTTTTTTAACCCCACGTTATATAATTCCTACCTGGTCTATCTTCGTGGTGAATGCTCGTGAAAGGCCTTGTCCTCCCGAGTCTTACAACTGTGATCAATTCTGATTCTGTTAAATAATAATTAACATATATCAATTAACATGTGTTTGATTTTAATCATTTGAGCCAAAGGCTCCTGTGATTTTTTTAAATAAATATGTGACTGGCGTCTGTCCTTCTGTTTTTGTGACCTTTTCGATATCATTCTCGACTCCCTTTCAAAAGCAAATTAAATTTGACGTGCGACATTTTTGGATCAAATTAATTATATTATTTTTTATAAGAAGGACTAAGCTTCTTTTAAGAGGAGACAATTTCTTAAATAGTGACTCATTAAACAATTCTTCTCAAAGGCACTGAACCAGAAAAGAATAACACGCATGAAAGATTTTTCACTAAGTGTATGAATCGGGTGAACGTTATGTTCCATTGCCCTTTGTTTATCTGAATAAATTTCTTCTTGATTTGAACTACTGACATTGGGTAAAACTATTGTCACTTGTGTTATTTCATTGTGCATTGTTTTTTTTTTTTCTGGTGTTGGGGAGAGTTATGAGAACAAGACTATTTTTTTATGAAAGGAAGAGCAGAGAATAGCCTTGCTTCTTACTGCGAATTTTGGTTTTCATGTTTGACTCCGACAGTTTTCAATTTTCAATTATTCAACATGTGTTAAGAGACATATTTTTTTTATTTTTCATTGATAACGATTATAAAAGATGTGAAATTTTAAAAATTGCTTTAATTGAAGGTTTCCTTGTTTTTATTCATACATTTCAAATTTAAAAAAAAAAAAATCTTCAGATATTAATTTTATGGTATTGCAAAAAGCTTCTACAAGAAGTACTCCATAGCTCTAGAGTGTAAAAGATATAAATTATTAAAACAACACATGATGAGTTACGAATATAATTTTTCATTTGCTACACATTCACCATCAGCTCATACATTTACCTTTGTCGCTTTCCCCCTAAACACGAAAAATAGTGCGTGCCTTTAATTTCTAAGGTAGATTTTTACTCAGTATATTTCCGGCCCGTAGAGCGCTGAGGGGGGGGGGGGCACTTTTTTCTGAGAATAGTCTTTTACAGTAGTTTTAATATTGAAATTTTCCTTTAGATCCCCCCACGTTTTGTTCCTGTACAATCAAACACTGGCAAATTTCAGCATTTAAAAAAAAAGCAAAGGGTTAGAGAACCCCCTCCCACACTAAACTTGGGCAGTTTACGTTATTTTCCCGCTTGTCAAATTTATTTTGGAGGCCCCGAACTTTTAAAATCGATGCTGTGGGCCCGTATCTAGATTTAATATTAATACTTTAACTTGAAAGAATCCTTAGAAAATAATTTTTAACCTTTTGTCCGAAATCTTGTAGAGGAAGATAGAAACGAACGACAACTCTGCATGGAAGATTTGCCTGTCTCTATCGCACAAGACCAGTCTAGAGATTGTTTAGAGTAAAACAATGCCAACTACAGTAACACGGTGAATAAGCTTACGTTTTCTCATTCTCTTCTATCGGCTCAAACATACGAAATCAATATTGCAACATATTTCACTCAGTTTCAGAGAGAGTATTCCCAGTTTGGTCATGTATTTTGTTTTCAATATCATCTACTTTTAGTATATTTGTGTTTCAATCAAATCTTTAATACCGTGCACCTTTAAAATCTAATAGATGATATCCGGGCTCACTCACCGTTATAAACTTCTTTATCATTTTCAATATTTTCACTGATTTATAATTAGTTATTTGCGGAATTAACTCTGTGGAGAAGATTTAGAAGGACCATGAACGAAAACTCGAGTTTCCCAATAAAAACTCCTTATTTCGATACATTTGCTTTTAAACTTTTAAATAAATATTCACTGTTTTCAATTTCACAATTTTATTGAGAGCACTAATATTCCAACTATTAACTCCGTTACATTACTTTGCTTTAGGTCTATGCTTTTACTCATATAGTATATACGATTAAAAAAATTAAGCAATAAGTATTATCCAAAAAAAAAAAACAAAACAAAAAAACAAAAAGAAAAACAAAAACATATCAACCAAATAAAAACGATAGTTCTTTTATTAACAAAACCTGAGGTTTTTCTCTTTTAATTTAATATTTCTACTCATAATTATGACCTCGACGGTTGACCTTGAGTGAAAGTCATCATACACCTTTAGTTCATCGTCAATAACTTACTCTCGTTTCAATACATTCCAATAATTGTATTCAATTCAATAAAAGATATTGCAAAATGCGATTTCATAATCTCATCGTTTTGTGATCTTGACCTTCTAGGAATGACTTGAATCAATATTTTGACATATTATTAGGTCATCTACAACAACATACAAACGTTTGAATCCATTCCAATCAAGGGTTTGAGAGTTGTGGTCATAGTACGATTTTGTGTCCGACAGAAAGGCAGAAAAAACAGACAGACAACGATAGCAAAACCAAAGTCTCCTCTCACTGAGCGAGACATAATGGAAGATAAAATCATACTGTAAAGCATCAGGTCATTTTCTTGTCTGGATTACAATTTTAAGATTTCAAACAGGCGTAAAGTTACCTCAGCAGCTTAAATAGTTTTGGACTTTGTGTGACAGAAGAAATTGAATCAAACCATGAGATACATGCATAAAGTGATTATTTTTTTTTTCGATAATCAAGTTTATTCTCATTTGTGATTTCAGACATAACCTAGCACTAGTTCATTTGATGTTCTTCTTAATCATATTCATGCCATGGAGCTCATAGGACCCGGTTTCTGTGGTGCTAGCATCTCCCCCCCCCCCCAACCCCAATAAACTTTAGCGACTACGTTGTCTTCCTCAGTGTTATCATATACATAAAATTAAAAACTACATATATTTGTATTGTTTCTTAAACTAGATAAATATAATTGTCTTACCACGTTCCATATTCCACGTACATCCAACAATATTTGTATTTATGAGAAATATGAATCGTACACACACACGTCTAGCCTATCTCCCATTTAATAAAAATGCAACTTTTTATAAATTAAATTAAATGACAATGTCTTATTTATTTGCTTTATCTTTTTTACAAGTAATTTTATTTTATTTTTTTTTAAATTTATTTTTTTAGAAAAATTTAAAAATTAAGAAGTAAAAAGTTCAGTAAAATTTTAAGCATTAAACACCTTTAATCATTTAATTTAAAATATTTATAAATAAGTATTTGAATACTTAAGTGTCAAAACGACAACATTGCAGGTATATACAATGTTAGATTCTGGGCGGGAACTCTGATCAAATCGATAAATTGGAATTGTAGGTAAATCGTTGGTTGGAAATATCGCACTTATCCAAAGAGAGATAACTCTAACTATGTTGGCTGGAAACATACATGTATAAAAAAAGGAATAGTGTTGCATATTTGACATATGACCGTATTATATATTACGGTCATCAGAAAGTGTAAGCCCACCTGATCGGTTAGAATCTTTTACTCACTACTTCAAAACATTGTCAATTTATATAAATATCTGTGTCACCTACTATATAATATAAATATGATGATCGACATCATGATTAATAGATATTTACGTTGCATTTCTTTTTTTTTGGGGGGGGGGGGGTGTTTTAGCTAAAAGTTACGTATATGTTGATTATATTTTCAAAATGAAGAGAATAAGAACTTGAAATAGATAGAAAATGAACATAACATTTCTGTGAATGTTGGAAAGAAAATTAAAAATGAATTCAGTTAGTGGATACAAAAGGC